AAGGGGACTCACAGTAATCAAGAACCCCGAGATAGTGAGAGGCAAGGGGACTCACAGTAATCAAGCACCCCGAGATAGTGAGAGGCAAGGGGACTCACAGTAATCAAGCACCCCGAAGGGAACAAATTACTGCTACGTCCACGTCGTTGTTCCTCGATAAAGCTAAAAGTAGTCTAAGAATGCATTGCAGGAGGGTAGACGGTGTCACATGATAGCATTTTCAAAAATATCAAAAAATTTACTTTGATTTTCCTAATCTGATGTGTATTTTTTTTAGATATTACCATTTTTCAACAATTTTCAACTCATTTTCATTTTTACCGATTACAGCGTCATCTATCATGAAACGAAAAAAATGTCTCATACAAAAGTTACATATTTTTTCACGGAGAATCCAAATCTGCAATAAAAAATAAGGGTTTCTATTTAAGATTTCAACGTCACCACCCCTCCCGCCCCCGGGGGTGGTGCAGGGGGGTCGAGCTTTATGTTAATGGATGTCCCTCTTCGAGGTGAACAACTTTTATTGCAACTTTTTTTTAATCCGATTTGTATTTTTCCAAATATTCTGAAAAACAGTTTTAAATGCCTCACCCTGTATACTTAATGTTGTTTCGAATATACATCGCTTACACATTTATTCTGTTCTCATTCTGCTCCGTTTCCTTATGCCGTGTGCCGTCCGTGATACGGTGCCATCGCGCGTGTTCGATACTCCGATGTCGAAATCTGCTCCAGCATCCTTCATCAGATATTCTCCCTTGGTTGCGTTCCCTTAAACTCTTTAAACGATTGCAACACTCGCGAACATTATCCCTGTCTTTCATTTTCGGTAAGAAAAAGGATAAAATAATTCCACGAGCATTGCGATTATTAAGTGCACTGTAACCCTATTGATTGACAATGACTGAGACCAATTGTTTTTGCAGGAAAAAGGACAAACAAGGAAAGAAAAAGAAACTGGTGGAAGTATCGAGGATCCTCGAAAAGGAGAAGCCTAAAAAAGTGGAAGTAAAGCCGACAAAGGCGGAATTGGCTTTTCAAAAAATGCGGGACAAAATGGTAAGTATATACATACACGTATCTATTAGGCCTAAGTCTACGATACATGGATTAAGCCTGGAGTAGGGAGTAGAAGTAGGAATAAGTAAATAAATCAATTTTATCTCTTGCTCCTACTTCAGCTCCCACGTTTACTCGCCATCGGTTAGTGTTATACGAATATTTTAGAAATTATGCCTATATTTTGGTGTAAGCTTCCTTACACCAAAAGCTTAAGGTTATGATTCTCTCTTACTCCTTACGACGAGCTTACTCATGTATTGTAGACTAGTCTTTAAACGTACATTTTGTACGTACCTATAATAACATTGTTAACTTAAACTAGCGACACACGATACTATATTTCCTACTGGATTTCTTACGATAACCATTCAGAATTTAGCCTTAAGTCACCTGATCTAAAACTCTGTATTTTTATTGGATCTCGTAAACAACCCAGTATACAGTAGGAAGATAGTATCGCGTGCCGTTGGCCTAAGCTACAGAAATTCTAAACGTCTCACTAATTTGTAGCAAACCGAAAGGATCAAGCAGAAAGCTTCCAAGACGCATAAACAACGGGTGGATGAGTTTAATCGACATCTGGACAGCTTGACGGAACACTTTGGCATACCTAAAGTCAGCTGGACGAAATAAACTGCGACAAATTTATGTTATGATGAGAGTGGATTAGGCCTACCGGGGAAACCACTATAAAAAAACGCACCAAGCTGTCTACCGCAAGGTGGTGTGGAAATGATAGCGAGTTATTTTCCTATCACAGAAAAGAAGGAACAATTATTTGTATGCGCGGTGTCACACGGTGGCGTATAAAATAGTTGACAATGAATGTTGACTACGAAAATACCGCTCCGTTAGGTAAAAAAATATAAAAAATTTCTTGAAATACTGTTAATGTAAATAAATAAATATAATATATAGTATATAGTATATTTAACACAAGTTACAATTTTATTTTACAGTAGACGAAAAAAAAGGAAACAGATCTTGCAAACAAGATCTTTTAAAGGGTCTCCAAGTTCTGCAAAAACAATGAAGGTTGACAAGTCGCACATAAGACGAAAGGAAATTGAAATAGCGGATATGAAAAGTAAACACGAAATGGAAATATGTCGGTTAAGGACAGAACGTGAGGAGTTTATTAATAAAATGACTCGTCAGAAATTAATTTTGCAGAAAAAGGAGTTAATTGAAAGAGTTAAATTAGCCAAATTTCGCATAGAGAAAGAGATTATTTTTTAAAAAGTTACATTGAGTTAAGCATTTTTTTGTGTTAATTTTAGGGGAGAACGTTATGTTTCTAACGATGAACACATTAACCGCATGTTAAATCTTAAATAATTGTTAGGTAAGACTAAGTTCAGGCTTCATGATTATTGTAAATAGTAATTTCCTCTGTAAAATATTCAAGTTATCACTTATTTGATGTTGGATTATCCGGAATAGGCAATTGTTAAATCTCGCAATCAGTTATTTTAAATGTAAAAATGTATTTATAAAGATCGAAATACGTTCGCAATATTATGAACAGCAAGATTTCACGCAAGCTTTAAATATACATATATGTATATACCTTTATAAAAAT